TAGTGCCTAAGGCACTTGACTGCTAACCAGAAGGCTGGCGGTTCAAACCCACCAGCCACTCCTCGGAAGGAAGGTTGGGCATTCCTACTTCCGCAGTGATACTGCCTCGGAAACCCAAGGAGGGGTCGCTATGAGTCGGGGCCGACTCAATGGCAAACAACAACAACAACAACAAAGTTATTAAAGTAGTGAAATATCTGCGTCAGTTAATAAAGAACTGTTGGTTCAAGCTCCTGTAGTTCCTGCCTCCTCTGACCCAGAGGCCTTGGTCATTCACCTAGAATTCTTTCAACCCCCCTCAATCTAGCAACTAAAGGTTAGTTAATGTCTGTCCTATCCCTTGGGGTGGGGAGGGGGCCTTCTCAAGGACCTTGCCTCAGTACTTCAGGACTCTGATTGGTATTGCCCTTGGCTTCCCCAAACCTTGCCCTCCTAGAAGGGACTGCTTCCTGAGATTCTTTCCAAGGCTGGGTCATCACTACCATGGCTAAGTCCAAGATCACAGAACCATTGGCCTCAAGACTTTAAAATCATCTCATCCAACCTCTTCATTTCACTGAGGAAATCAAGTTCCACAGAGTCACTCAGCCAGTTTGTGGCCAATTGATCAATAAAAGCCAGATCGCCTAAGTCAGTACTTTCTTTTTGCTCCATCTTCCTGTATCTGTTTCCTTAACTGTGAAATGGGGATTAACATCTTTATGCCTCACAAAATTGGTAGTAAAAATAATACTGATACCCAACATTTTATGTATGTTTTATAGTTTTTTTTTAAAAAAAAAAAAAAAACCACTCTTGTATACATTCTCATTTAATTCTCACAAAAACCCATAAACTAGGTTTAGAGGCAGTGAGTAGCCTCTCCAAGATAACAAAACTACTAAGAGTGGCAAAGGTCTAAGGCTCTGAGGGCTTGAAGAACTGTAACTCTTTTGTAAATGTATGATAATATAACCACACAGCATTACTAGTTTTCAGCTTGTGGTATTTTGCAGTTCAGGATTTAATGACATTGGAAGTGAAGTGGGAACTTTGTTCAAGAGGTTTTTTTTTTTTTTTTTTTTTCATTTTGATAATGTGCCAATTGCACAGACTTTGGTTCAACGTTAAAACAGAAGTGGGCTGCTTCCCAGTGTATTTTTAAAATGAGAGAATCCAAATTTGTAATTAGCTTTACAAATGCTAGTTGTGCAGTTTGAGTATCTAAAGAGCTTCTAGTAATCATTTGTGCTATAGTTGGTGATTTGTTTTTTCTATTTTTTTTCCCCAAGTAATTAAACCCTTTGGAAAAAACAAAGTATGTTCTTTGAGGGATCATTTCCTCTATTACCATTCCATTTTCACACCCTGTAGTCCTGGTGTGCTTGGAAAATTAGCCATATATCTGAGTGTGACAAAGAAAAATCATTTATAAGCTATTCTACTCAGTTTGATACCTAATTGTCAGGAGAATGCTACTTAAATTACAAAGGGATGCTACAGTGAAGAAAATGGTCAACTTCTTGATACATCTTTAGGTTTGTTTTTTGGTTTGTTTATCATTTTTGTAAAAACATCCTTCCTTTTACATATAATTGTTGGAAAAGATCACTTTAACTCACTCCCAAAATAAAGTTGAAATATTTTTGGAACACCCTTCCCTTCTGCCTCCCTTTTCTCTCTCTCTCTCTCTTCCTCTCCCACGTTCATGCTTTCTCCCCGCCCCTCTCTCTCCACCCCGCCTCTCTCTCTCTCCCTCCCTCTCTCTCTCTTCTCTCTCTCTCTCTCTCTGTCTGTCTGTCTCTATGTCTTTTTGAACTTCAGCCATTTTATAGTATACACTAGGTTCAGAAATAGAGTTTTTAGATAAGGGAAAGAGTGAGATTATTTCACTCCATGTAACAAATATCTCTTCAATTTTATTTTCTTAGAGTATGAAAATGGTGGTATTCTCTATGCTAATTTTCCTCAAGGTTGTGTGTGTGTGTGTTTGTGTGTACGAAAAAGAATGCAAAATTATTAGAAAAATCTCAAATGAAAACAAATGTTGGATTAAGAGTCCTGCTTTAGCATTACTGATTTGAGGTCACATTTGGGAGAATGGGTTTGTATGGTGGTGGTTTTTAAAATCATGTATTGTGTATGGTAGCATAGTGCCTAAGGCACTTGACTGCTAACCAGAAGGCTAGTGGTTCAAATCCACCAGCCACTCCTGAGAAGGAAGATGGGGCAATCTACTTCCGAAGTGATACTGCCTCGGAAACCCAAGGAGGGGTCACTATGAGTCGGTTTTGACTAGACGGCACGTAACAACAACAACATTGTATATATGGGTCTTCATGTGTTTCTGCATGTATACTGTGTTTTGTGTTGTATATCAAATAGACTCTCAACACTATTGTGCTCTGAGGGAGACCCGTCAATATATAGGACCTTCATAGGGTTAACTGTTACCTAGAGTTTTCTTGACACCATTTTCCCTGCTTCATATAGATGCTGTAGATGGCACTAATAAAAGAGTAAAAGTAAAGTTTGTGATTTATGACCAGACTTAAGTCATTATGGTAAGGAGACACTAAACCGGAAAAAAAAAAAAAAAAAAAACCTCACTGCTGTCGAGTAAGCTTGAATAAATCTTTGAAATTGCAAACTTCTGTTCCTCTAAACTTATTAGGGTATAAGGGTAGGGGGCACTGATGAGCCAGCACATACTTTCAGCCTTCTCTGTCACCAGATTTTATAGCAATGCACTTAGCATTAAATGAGACAATGCACGCAAGGCCTCTGACAGTACAGTTGACACATTGTAAGCACTCAGGAGCTTTAGCCATCATTATTAGCTTGTCTAATTGGGTTTTTGTCTTTACATCTTCTCTCTCTGTTCTCATATCGGAACGTAAGAAATAGGAAAATACCAAAATGAAGGGAAACACAAGGCCTCAGTCAGTAGTACAAAAGCTGAGTTATCAGTCCACAGATAATCAGCAGACTGATTGTTTTTCTTCTGATGATGATGTGTGAATTATTTGCATTCTCCCTGACACCACTTTCCATGTTAAATAGACCCCATAGGGAAGTGGCAGCTCTTCCATTGCCCAGATCTGACCTACTCTGACTTAATGAGAATGACTTAGTAGTGAAATTACATTAATCCCACTTCTCTCTTGTACAGAAACTAGGTAGATACTATCTCTGTGTAAGAGAAACAAAGTAAAATCTCGTATATTTGGTCATCACTAATTAGAATTTGTTAAGATATGTTAGCTGCTAGTGCATTCTTGCTGTGCCTATAATAAAAAAGATTATTAAACAGATTACCTGGGCACTCATGCTGCTGACATTGTGTAAATTGGTGCAGCCTTTCTGGAATGTCGTCAAGACCCTTAAAGGTCATACTATGTGACCCAGTAATTATTTTCCTATAATTCTACCTAAAAGAACATTCAGAAATTCAGATAGTCTTATATGAAAAGTGTTACTACCAGTAACAACAACGAACTAATTCCAACAATGAGAAAAATAGTTAAATAAATAAACCCCATTTCTATGAGGTATAATATTATATGAACTTTAAAAGGAATGTTGTTAAAGAATTTCTAATAACTTGGAAAATGATCACATTTGTATAACATTAAATGAAAAAGCAGGAACAAAACTGAGTATTTTTGTGTATCTCTGAAAGGGGACCCATTGCCATTGACTCAATTCTGACTCATAGTCCATAGTACAGATAGAACTGTCCCCGTCGGTATCCAAAGCTGTAGATGTTTATGAAGGTAGACTGCCACATCTTTGTCTCATGGAATGGCTGGTGGGTTGGAACTGCCAGCCTTTTCTTTGTTAGCAGACAAGTGCTTAACCACTGTGCCACCAGGGCTCCTTTCTGAAAGGAATGATGATCCATAATCTCTTATCCTCAATTCTGAGTCCAAAAATCAAAAGTTCTTAAAAAAAAAAAAAAAAAGTTTGGTAAAAAAGAACTGGCTTAAACTGATGTGAAGCTATTTATAGTCTCTACAGGTGGTTGATGGATTATGAACAAGTTTCATTCCTAAATCAGTCTTTAAATCAAATTTGTACGTAACTCAGAACAGTTAGTTACAGATCGTATGTAACGTCAGTCAGTTTTTGGTCTTAGTATATAGTGTATATATAGTATACCTTTCTGTGCATTAAAAAACATTAAAGAAACACTTCTAGATACACAAAAACATTTTTAAGCATGATAATACAGTAGTAATAATAATGTTTTGATCCACGTTGCAAAGTAGCATCTGTTTGTTATTATGAACCATTGTATGTACTTCAGATGTTTAATAGGCTTCAGGGGGGTTGGTTCATGACTATGGTTGTGTGTAAGTCTGACGTTCTTACCTCTGGACATTCATAACCAGGCACTGCTTCCCCTTTTATCCCACATAATAAAATCATGCATGTATTTTGCTGTGGAATTATTTAATGTGTTTGATTACAAGGTGATGCTCCCTACCCTGATGGAGTGGTACATAATGCATAGAATACACATTATAAATACACTTTAAAATCCAAAAAAATTCTGTGTTTTAGAACATGTCTGGCCCCAGGAGTTTCAGATAAGGGGTTGTAGACCTATACAACAAAATACCATTTATCATCTTATCAGTAGCAAGGTTATGTTGTTGTTGTTATGTGCCATTTGTTTAGTCGGACCCGACTCATAGCGACCCCTCCTTGGGTTTCCAAGGCAGTATCACTACGGAAGTAGATTGCCCAGCCTTCCTTCTGAGGAGTGGCTGGTGGGTTTGAACCACCAGCCTTCTGGTTAGCAGTCAAGTGCCTTAGGCACTATGCTACCAGAGCTCCTAGCAAGGTTATAGGTGATCTTTATTATTTTTCTTTATGCTTTTCTGTATTTTCCACATGTCCTACAATAAGCATGAATTTAAAAATAAACACATTTGAGGCATCAGAAAAACACTTCATTTCAGTCAGAATTCTTGACTAAGTCATTTGCTTTTCTATATCTCTTCTTGTTCCTACAGTTACATGTGTCTCTTAAGTCGAGGTATCCTGATTTGTTGAAATAAAACCTGAGATGAAGGAGAGAAGGGGATGAGTAATTGGACGTCATCCTATCTCTGAGCTGCTTTTAGGTTCAGGGGAGTACCCTGTGAGAAATTCTTCCTAAAGGAATAGGGCTTCCACATGGGCATGGGGCTTTTGATTCCATGAACTAGTTTATCATTTTCTGTTTAGGTGGAGTAGTCAAGAACACAGCCAGAAGCATCGTAAATTAGTGTAGAGGTCTTGAAAGCAGATGAGGAGAATGGGTAGCAGGGATAGCAGGATGGAGGGAGGAACACATTAGCATGCAAGGTTTACTTTGCTAATTGACAACTTTTCCTCTCCAAATAGGTGGACATTCACTGACCTGTTACAAGGTTGCCCTACAAAGCTTTGGGGTCCATGTCTGAATGGATTGCTGTAGCATTCTCATTTCTCCCTTCGCCCAGTTCCCTGCATCCTAAGACTCAAAGCCAGCACAGGACCTGGAAAAATTACATGTAAGTGTTGACTAAGGATTCTTTTCGAAAACTAACAGTGAAAAATGCATTCTATGAATTGTCTTAGGCAATAAGAACAAATAACTTAAATGCACATAAATTACTTTCTTTTAACAGAGTATCTTGAGAGTTATAATTGAGGAAGGGGAACATGGAATCTGCACATTAGTGTTTTCTTAACTCAGTGCTTTTCAATTTTACCTTGCATTGGAATCACCTGGAGAGCTTGTTAAATTACAAATTTCTGAGCCCTACCCCCATAATTCCCAATTCAATAGGTCTGGGAAGCCAGGAATTTGCTTTTCTAACAAGTTCCCAGGTGATGCTGATGCCGGTAGGCCAGAGGCCCCATAGTGAGAATCACTGCTTTAACTCGAGTGTGATCAGAAAGATAAATGATATAGAAAAGAGTATACTTCAATATAATCATTCTAAAAGTATTTAATGCCTTACTAAATACAGTGAGTCATGACCCAGAAAAGTGTTAAAGTCCCCTTAGCACCTTCTTATTTGAAAGTCCAGCCAATAGATGTTATTAGACTGTGCCAGCTTTACCCCAGAGTTCCTTGTATCCAGTCATTCTGTGCCCTTGGTTTTCAACAGGTGTGAGTAATAGTGCTGTTATTAGGCTAAATGGCAACTATAGTCTTTTTGCAGGTGAGCTCATCATGCTTTTAGAGACACTCAAAAGAGAAAATCATTTTTCCCCTGGATTGGGAAAATATATTGTTCCCTTTCAATGCAAGTTACTGTAGTATTATTATCCCTCCCCTAATACACTTAAATGTAACTTGATTTACAAAGTGTAAGGAGAGGCACACTCTAATAAATACCCCAAGTCAGCAAGTCCAGATTTTTGTGGGGTTGTGAGTTCTCAGGATTGATATATTTTGAGAATCAGCATATTATCGTGTTAGATTTGGAACAAGTCAATTGCATATCTGCTGAGGACAAGAAGAAGTTATTCCATGTGGATAGAAAAAACTAGAAGAGTTTGGCTAAACAAATACACACTTGGATGCATATGAACATACATACAAATGTACATATATGTACCTGTGAATATATGCATTTTGTATATTTCTAGGCTTTCATAGAAATTTTAAGCATTTTTTTCTTTTGTTTTACTGATATGCTATGAGTGTAAAAATACTATGAGTATTAAATAATATGAGTAATAATATGAGTATAAAAATAAATCTGTGGATAAGCACTGTAATTTATACTGTTTTATTGAATATGGTAAATATTATCCTTCAAAGTAGCACTTAGGAGTTGGAGTTCTTTTATAACTCTCTGGAGCTGAGATTAAACACTAATAAACACTTAATAAAGCAGTTGCTGTAATGTCAGTCTGTCCTAGCTACTTAAGTGCTGCTATAACCACTATAACAGAAATACCACTATTGGCTGAATATTAATAGAACCAGAAATCCTGGCAACAGGTTTAAATGCATATGCTTAAAATAAAGATCACGAAATCAGAAAAGTCAGACAAAAAGTAATAAGCAATGAAAGAGTTCTATAGTACAATTAATCCACAGCCATCTCTTAGGGGCTACCCAAGGAGTAGCAGGGCTGCTATTCAGACTGACAGAGTCGTGAGTGACGTAATTAGCTATTATTACTCCACCCTCACCAACACTCACATCTCTGTCAAACGCTAATTAGTTATTCTGCACAGCATTCTTGGGAGGGAGGTTATCAATAATAAAGCATCTTCACCATGAAGTGAAAAAAAGGGGATTGGATCAAATGCCCCTTAATGTTCCTTTCAGCTGGGGCACCCTGTGAGTCTCCACATTTACATGTCAGGTTTTCCTGTGAGATGACCATGACATCAGTGTGTCTTCCTTACCTAATGCTGCTATAACAGAAAGACCACAGATGGGTACCTTAAACAAGCAGACATTTATTTTCTCACAGGTTAGGAGGCTAGAAATCCAAATTCAGGGCACCTGCTTGAAGGGAGGGCTCTCTGTCACCTCTGAGGAAAGGTCTTTGTCTCTTTAAAGCTTCTATTCCTAGGTTTTTGGCAGTCATATGGCATGTATCTTGTCCTCAATTTGTGCTTGTTTGTTTGATCTGCTCTTTGGTATCTCAACAGAGATTGACTTAAAACATACCCTACACTAATCCTACCTCGTTAACATAACAAAGAAAACCCATTCCCAGATGGGATTATAAACACAGGAATAGGGGTTAGGGTTTATAATATATTTGGGGGGCACACAATTCAATCCATAACAACCCATTTCCTGTCTATGGTCAGGGAGAAGAAGGCTGTGACTCCTCGGATGAATGGGGCTTTGGGCTCCTGCCAGAGATAGATGGGCCTGCCCAAATCACCCTCTGTGCCCTGGGCAAAGCACTCAGTCACGTGTGCCTAGAGGGTCTCTATAAAACTGACTACCAGGGCTTACCTTCCTCCCAAGAATGTGTGCAAAATAACTAATTAGTACTTGACAGAGATACTATAGTTTGTGAGAGTGTAGTAAGTATGCCACCCACACCTCCCTCGGCCCTACGACCATCCATCTTGCCCTTTGGGCAGTCCCCAGAAGATGGAAAGGCCAAGGGGTCTGCAGAATGTTATATTTTAGCCTTAGGGTTTCCTATCAGGGTAAAAACATATTTGTCAGAAACCATCAGGAAAGCTGCCACAGACAACTGTAGTGTCTACCAAAGTGTCATTTACACATATAGGAAATCTGCTTCCCTGTGATGAAGAGACATGTGTAACCACCTGTGCTTCTAGAGCAGGGCTTCTTCAGCTCAGCTGAATGGTATGTTCGATAAACGACTTTGTGTATAGGCCACCAGAGTGTACAGTATTATGGAGCCATGTGAATAATTATGACAATTAGATTCTGATCAATGGAGACGAAAGCAAGAACCAAGATATACAGACTTACCACAGATTCAAATGTAGTCGATAATGATAGCTTTGAGAAGAAATTAATAACAAATAGTTCTCCTGCTAAGAAATGTTTCTAATTATTATGATACCTGTTTCACACACTCCAAATGAAAAATAATTTCTTTTCCATCACCAGATCTCTTTAATATTGAAAGGAACATATTTACACTTAAGGAAAAAGTATAGCCAAAGAAGAGGTAGGATGAAGACATCATAGTTAAAGTAATAAATAGATATAAATATATAGGTGTAATCTCACTGCCCTCACCTCCATCTCAGGTTTTCCAAACTGCTTAGAAATAAGCTCTTCAGGCTTTTCACTTAGGGTTGGAGACAGGACAAAGTAACTAAGATTTATGAGTTAGTTGTTAGGAAGAGCTGCTAAAATAGCAAAAACTTGGAATTTTTTTTGTAGTGTTAAGGTTTTTGTAGTGCCTCGGAAGGAAGAATGGGCAATCTACTTCTGTAGTGATACTGCCTCAGAAACCCAAGGAGGGGTCGCTGTGAGTCGGATCCAACTCAACGGCACTGAGTTTGGTTTTGTTTTTGGTAAGGCAAAATTTGACAGCTAACCAGAATGTTGGCGGTTCAAAACCACCAGCCACTCTGCAGAAGGAAGACGGGGCCATCTACTTCCGTATAGACTTACCACCTTGGAAACCAAATGGAGATTGGGGCAGTGGGTTTTGTTTTGTTTTTTGTTTAGTAGAAAAGATAGCCCATGTCAGCAAGTCTAAAGGGATATCATCTTTGACATCCACAGATACCTATTAGCACAGTGAGCTTGGGTTGCAACAACTTGAATATAGAAACTAATAAAAATAAAATTCAACTCCATAAGTTCAAAGATTATAATTTTGGAAAGGAAACACTGACACAGATTCTCCCCACAGAAGACTAGCAAGCCAACAGTCATCCTAACAAAATGGTGTAAGACAGAGAACTTATTGGATCTCATGCTACCTAGGATGTGCCTGGTTCAAGACTCTGAATGCATGTCTAGTGATATTCTAGCTACCTGGAACCTAACTAATCAAAACCTGAATTAATTAGCCTGCATGTTTTCCTACCCCCATGCAACCCTCTCCCTTCCACATACCCAGTCCTACCACATACATCCCACTTCCTTTTCTCAGAGATAAAGGTTTAGAAAACAAGACAGCTTTAGTTTAGTATAGGTGGGATATACCCTGAAGTAGTTTGTAGCTGATGACACTGACCTATTGAATCATTGAGAATGGTTAAATATTTTATAATTAGAAAAAGAAAAGACTTTGCAAAGATTTTCAACAAAAAGCATTTTTAAGCTGTCAACCCTAAAGTTAAAGCAACAAAAATACCTTCTTGCCCTCAGATAGTCTATTTAACTAACATTTTATTGTACTTGTTTTCATGCTTAATAATCTAAAAATGTTGATTTAGGATAGAAAAATATACCTTTCATATTATTCTTCTTGGGAAAATGCAAGCTTTGGCTATTTTAGATATTCTGTCTATGTTTTAGAAGTACTCTAAAAGTTGTCATATTATTGATTTTAAGCATTAAGTATTTGATAATCTCATGAACATATGTATTTAACTCCTGTAGTCATTGAAGGACCATTGGCACAATTTTGAAGCCAATTCTTTTTTTTTTTTTTTTTTTTAAAGAATGTATGATATAATTATTTGTAATGGATTTGGCTCACAATTATGTTCTGCTTATTATCAAAATTAATTTGCATTCTCTGGGTATACACTAATGATACAGATAGGAGTGATATTACCAACATGGTAGATAAATTCACATATAAATTAAAAATTTCAAATAATATTCCCTGTGATGCTGTAAATAAATAGCTGACTATCAAGTGATAGAAGTTGTAGCACAATTTGTCAGATTATTCTAATAATTTCTAACTTTTTGATGTTTTAGACATTATCCAAACTCTTTTTTGATGCAGCTGTCACTAGTGAAGGAGTCCTGGTGGTGTAGTGGTTAAAGTGTTCAACTGCTAACTAGAAGGTTGGTGGTTCAAACCCACCAGCCACTCTGCAGGACAAAGTTGTAACAATCCACTTCCATAAAAATCACAGCCTTGAAAACCTTACAGAGCAGTTCAGCTCTGTCCTATAGGATTACGATGAGTCGGAATCAACTCAGTGACATTAGGTTTAGTGTTTTGGTGTTTGGTCACTAATGAAATGATTCCTCTGGCTGAGTTATGATATAGTTCAGAGGATCACATCACACTCTTCCAAGGACACTCTGTAAAATCGATCACTGTGAAATCCTTGGTGCCTGGAGCTTTGTTGCAGGTGGATAGTACCCAGACCATGTGTAATGATGAGGAAAGAGGTTTCTGCTCTTCTGCCCAGAACATTAGTTTTAAAGGTTTGCAGTGTAGCAGGATTTTTAGAGTCCTTGTAATGCTTAACTAGTAGCTATAATCTATTGTTTGTGGCAGATTTTTCCTATATATTGTGCCTATTTGTCACCAGGCCAGATTGTTATACTGGATCCCATGTATCAAGTTTTCATAATCACTTAGAATCAGAAGGTAATTAATTGCTTTTCTATCAAAAGGGAAGTAGCTTTATTTTCCTGATTACAGAAGTAATACATATTTATTCTACATAGTTTATGAAATAACAGAAAAGCATAAACAAGAAAATAAGTTACCTATAATCCAACTACCCAAACAAAACTACTTATTAACACACACTTTTGTGTTTTTCCAGACTTTTTCAATGAATCAACTAATTTCATATTTACACATAGTATTTCCCACTGATTATATCCCACAACCTGGTAGAATTTAGGACAAATGATTTTAGAAATCGTTTTACAGGGTGATGATCTCCATGTTGCTGATTTTTCTCCTTTCAGTTACATTAGTCACCTCTTGTGACAACAGTACCTATGTGGACTTAGAAGTCTCTAAAGTGGACATCTCTATTAACCAGTATTTTCATTCCTACGTTCTTTCAGTAAAAATCATTGTTAAGACTCAGGTACAAGATGACTTAAGTGTTAGGTGAACTGATTGTGTTCAGTTATTTAAAAATTAGTAACCAATACAGTGTACAGCAATTTGGCAGGAACAGAAATGATTATAAACCAGATTGCCCATGCCCCATCCACAATTCATACAATATGGACTCCATTATAATTCTGATTTTACAATTGATGGTAACAAAGTTTGATTCAAATATACCCCTTCTTGTGCTGTGAACCAGTTAATTTTTCTCTCTTTGTCCTTCTTCAAAGAAACTTCTCTTCAGATTCGTCTGGGGTGGTGGTGTAACTTTTTGAGTTATGCTGATATCTCTTCGCTTCCCTTTGGGGAGTGCTAGGATGTTGGCTTTGGATGAGACCTAAAACTTAGCCACAGAGATTATGAAGGGCTTTGAGCACTGAAAGAGAAAAATAAAAGGATTGCTAAAGGATTTGTTTGAGAAATGTAATAGGAGTGTCATTCAGAAAGGATGAATAGAGTAGGAAATATTTAATAGAAGATACTTTGTTTATTTAAAATGATCTGCATTTGGCGTCAGTTATGTTTAGGTCTTTTCATTGCCTGTATAAGACTCTGGGTTCCTTGAAAGCAGGGGCTTCTCTCTGCATCCCTTAGCATCCTTTGTGTCTTTGTATATAAAGGAACTCAGTAAGTATTGGCTTGAATTAATATTTCTGTAGCTCTTGAGTGACAGATGAATGAATGTGCTTAAGCCAGATAGGTAGAGTTTGCCTTCTTCCTACAGCAGTTGAAGGGTGCTTTGATAAATACTCACGACTGTGTCTAGGGCCCCGCTGGGTACAGGTGTGGGGAAGTGGTATACAGAACTTTGATCCTCCCTTGGAGAAGGAGATGCTAATGTGGATAATGAGAATTTGGCTCTTCGTCTTCAGTTTCAGTTTGACCGTTTCACTTCACTGAGTCACAGCACTCACTTTGCTGTTCAGTGATGGGGTATGTCATTTAAGCCCGAGACGGTCCCTTGGACTGTTTGTTACATTGTATCTGAATTTCCCATTACATTCACAGCCAGCGTTTATCATAATTTCAAGAATACACCAAAAACTGGTTGGCTTTGTAGTCGGCATTGAGATTAACTTTCTCTAACCTAAACCAGTGAAAACTAAAATGCTCCTTACCACATAAAAGTTTTGCTTTCGCTGTGTTCAGACCCCTCCCACCTTGTCACAGCACAGTCATTTGGAGTCTGATTTGGGGGCGGTGTGGTTGTACCTCAGTGGTGTATGACCCACTTTTTCAAGATACTTATTCACCCATGTTTTTACAACCCAAGTCAAAAGTTCTGACGATAGTGGACGCTCACCAAAAAAAAAAAAAAAGATTTTGTGATCCATCTCATCAGCACTGCTTTAGTAACCGTGAGTTATCGCAGAAGGTGTTAGCTCTACAGGGAGTGTGTTAACTACCAGAGGATGACAGGACAGTTCCTCTAGGTTCTGGATAATGAGCCAGCACACAGGTAAAGATGCATTTCTTAGAGTTGACTCCTTTTGTGTCTTAATGATTTTGTTGAGCTGACTTTTAAATATTAATCACTATCTGTGTATATTTGCTGCTGTGGTTTACAGAGGGCTCAGAGCAACGGGCATTTTAATTGGTACTCGAGAACCTTCATAACTTTTTATAAAATATGGTCTGAAGAGATAGTGATCAAAAATAGACTATCTTGTCTATGCCTTCAGCAAATATCATCTTCATCCTTTTTCCCCCCCCCTTACTTGCTGTCAAGGTGGTTGTCTCTAAATATCAGATGTTCCGATCTATAGTGATAGCCATGTGTGAGTTAATGCTTGGTAAGCTTTAGGCTGTGTGGTTGAATTGTGGATAATGTAGACAGAGAGAGAAATGTGCAAAGGGAGGGAGAGGGCAAGGGAAAACTGTGCTTTGGTTCCACTGCAAACTAGAAGCAGATTTAGATCAAGTACTGTTGGCAAAATCATTCCTGATGGGCTGTTCCATGTTAGAAATTTTTGTTTCTGATACCAGTCTTGTTCATTTGAAGAACGTTGAGAAGACTATCATTATTTCGAAACAAAATGTTTTAGATATCATCTTCCTGAATTTATAGTCAAAGTCTTTGGGTCCATTTCTTTGCTGAAAAGTGGTTGATGTGTGGTCTGCGGCACAGTGATGCAGGTGCCTGGCGGCCAGAGCACATTTGTCTGTACACTGAATGACATAGCAGTGTGGAGTCTTTGAAAATGCCCGTCAATAAGTCAACTTTATTTTTCCTGAATGTCTTGATACAGAAGAAGAATGAAAGTACAAACACTAACTGGAAAAAATGTCACACATTTTAGCCACTTTGCATCCCTTGTTAGGACGAACCCTGAGTTGGGTTTTTTACTTTTGTGAAGTTGTGCGGTAGGTGGAGCAGTGTGGGTGGCCCAGAAAAAGTAGCGGTTAGAATAAGATTTTCCATTTATTGCCCTTTGTGCATGGCTAAAAATAAGTTTCATACAAATCAGAATATGTAGTGCAAGCAAAATCACTCTGTTAATTCTGATGACTGGCCTGCCCACATCTTTGCATCTGTCTGGTAAGTGGTACATTGGGAAATAAATGTGTATCTGTTTAAGTAGCGAAAGGCAGCCAGGTTTTTGCCCTGTTTGTCTTCAAGTGATAATTTATCAGCATTTTCCCCTTTTGAATGAGGAAATGCATAGCTCATACATAAACAAATTGGGTTGATGGAAGGATGAAAGCAGAAGCAATGGAATTTTTAAAAAGTAATTGTCTTGTAAATTCTGTTTTACACTGTCTTTGGACTTGTTGTTAGAAAGTTGTTTCTTGTAAACACATACAAGAGCAAGGAAGGGATTTCTTAGTAGTATTGCTGGAGGTATTGCAAAACTTTTGGTTTGCAAAGGGATGAGGTGGGGGTAGGGGGAAAGGATGGACAAGGGTGAACGTATGCCTGCCCTGTAGTTAACCAAGTAAAAACTCCACTTCATCTGGCTGCTGAGTCTATTGCAACCACAGTAAGTGATAACGCGTCAGTTTGTGGCTAGAAGAAACACCAAAGAAAGCTGGTGTCAGCCTTCACAGGGAAATTTGTAACTTCATGATCCCAGCAATGGTGCTGTCCCCATTCCACTGACTGAGTGGCTGTGGCATTTCCAAAGAATGAGAATGTCTGCAAATGCTCTGAGGTTTTCAGTTTGATGTAATTTGTGAGATAGATGAGTCAAGAGAGCAGTCATTCCAGAAGCCTCTGGAAAATAAAGATTGCATATCACATTCCTCTTTGGTATTTCCAGCTGTGGCAGCCAGTGTGATGCAGTGGTCAAAGCAAGGTGAAAGCTTTAGGAGGACTCAGAATCACATCTTAGCTTAGCTACCTGTTGACCTTGATCTATTTACTTAACCTCTCCAAATCTTGTATGTCTTTATTTGAAAACAGGAACAGGAATAGGACCTACTTCATAGAGTGATTTTGAGGATTGAGGTAATGATACACAAAACCAGCACTCAGTAAAATCAAGCTGTTGTCATTCTTGTTTGTGCCATTGCATCAGAAGAATGTGTTAGAGAAAATTTTAAGGCATTTGGGGTTCCCTTCTAGTCTTTGGGCATTAATTTTGGAGTTCAATGAGCAAAAGACAGTCAGTCCTTAGTACAGTGTTTCTCAGTTGGGAAGATAAAGGCATTTACCCTGTGGTTTGGTTGTTCATAGATTACTGATGCTATCTGGGGAGTTGTTTTCTTCATATTGAACATATTCAGTTATTTTTACTTTCTATGTTTTTTACTTAAACATGGGTATTTCGTTTCTAATATCTGTGTATGTTAATTGTAGTACCTGCTGGTGTACATTATGAAAGCAAGCTAATGTTGTAATCAAGTAAGGTTTAAAATATTTCAGGTGGGAATGGGCAAAATGTCAGGAGCAATTAGCTTCCATGGTGGTGTAATTCCCTACAGAAATACTGCATCTGTTATAACTCTGTGTACTGATCAATCCTATAGATGACCAGATGCTGACAAGTAGAAAACAATTACTGCTGCTGCTTTTTTTTTTTTTTTTTCTGAAAATTAATTTTCTGTTTAATGTAATATATGCCTGCCTTCCTAGGAGTCCTTTCTGCTCACCAAAGCATCCTTTATAAAGTAAACATATTGTATATTTCATAATAGAAGGACATAATTGTGGAATTTCTGGTTAACCTTTAGAATCAGATGGTAAGCGTTTAAATAGTACTCTTCTTTCAGCCTCCTCCATGACCTTCCTGGGATGTGGTTTCTTCATTTGTCAAATTAAAAAAAGAAACTATGACTGCTCTTTGACTTTGCCTCATCTTGGACCTGACAAGAAGTGACAAATGATACTAATAAGCCAAGGAATTAAAACATGGTGCAGATACAAAGCAGTGAGAACTTGGTATTATCAATTGATGTTATTTTGCTAGTTTAAAAAAAAAAAAAACTGGCTCCTGATTTTCTTTTTCATGGTCTGTCCTACCATCCCAGTCACAGACATGAATTCTGACTTGAAAAATGTATCATTAGGTTTTCTGGGTTTTTAATGTTAAGAGCCATCAGTCTTGGGTGGGGACGTTTCTCAGGTCATCTCTGCCAGGAAGATCTTTTATTTCAAAGTACCCAGGTTCTTCCAGTGGATGAACCAGACAGTCCTGCTTTTTCCATTTTTCCCTGTTGAGTGAAATGGCAGAATGCTTGTCAGGCAGAGCAAATCATTCTTGGTGACTTACAAAGTCCCTGGCATTGCAGATAGAGTGTCAAACCCTCCCTTCACCCTACCACCACCACCCCCCTCTCTCTCTATCTTCCCATTATCTTTGCCTGCCTTACTGCACTTTCCCACAGAGTGAAGTTTCTGTAAAAAAAAAAATCATAGGTGAGAGAAGGTGATAAATTAGAGTCTGGCTTTGATTCCCTCCCACACCTTCATAAGGAGTGACAGAGATTCTGAAATGCATCCCATTGACACACCGTGAGCTTCTTCCTGCATAACAGCCGATTTTAACCTATCCTTCATGTGCAATTTAAGGGGAATGGCCTGGCAAGCTCATTATTCCTTTGGTTGAATAATGTAAAGCATTTGCAATGGAGATTTACTCTAATGATGTACTTTAAGTGCATGTCCACATTGCTGGTTTAATGCACTCAGTCATGGAATGCTTTCAAGTTTATTGCTAATGGATGAATCCTTGGGAAAATCGGAATTTTCAATACAATTGACATTTGGAGTGAGAAATGTAGATCTAATGAGAGCTTTTCAACCCAGGTTTGTAATTAGGGCTGAATGGAGTAAATTTGTACACGAACGCCACAGAAGGGCACAGCAGAAGGTGAAATTGCACACTTTGCTATGAATGAGGGATGAAGGCCGATGTATCAGTGTCAGGCCATGGCAGTACAGAGTATAAATGATACTGTCACCAAGTGCTGCACAGGGTGCCCAGGGAATTCCACTCCACTAAATTACATTACTTAGACAGACCTGAAGGCATTGTGTCGGGATGAGAGGAGGGAAGAGAAAGCTGTCAGCACCAAGTGAAAGATATTAAAATACAGCGGGCTGCAGTGTTGAAAGTCACTGGTTTCCATGATATCTGGCTTTTTTTGTGTTCTCCTTGTTAATTAATTTACAGAAGTTAGAATGTGTACATGTGAAAGCATGTGTTAGCTATTGTGGTTTAGGTTACAGTTCACCATAAGGAATAAATGTAAGTTGGTTTGTGTAAACTAATGAGTATTGGATTATTTTTCTTCTTACTTATAGCTGGTTGATACTTGTTCTTTCAACCCTGTCTTAATAAGAACATGTTTCTTTAATCCTGTCCTGTCATATGTGTTTGTTGTTTCCCACCTACATCCATCCCTCTGTCCCTTAGGGAAACGAATGGTACTGGTGTTTAATATTTCATTTTGTGAAAGAACTCTAAGTTAAGAATAGTTGATTCCTAGGCTATGATTTGTGGGGAAAAACTGTTTTTTCACATCTTACATTTTATTTTATCCCCTTGCAGTGAAATGAGGGTACCCTTTTTTTTTTTGGCTGATCTGTCATACTATCTCTGGGAAAGTATTAGGAGAAGAAAATAAGATCCATTGTTCAGCTA